ATTTATCAAATAAACCCACTTGTAGTTACGTATTTTAGTTTTTTGTTAATAGAAGCTCCTTTTTTGACCGCAGACGTGTCAATTTTCAATTTTTTGTTAGTTACGCCTTTTTGCATTTTAGCTGACGATATATATATATATATATATATATATATATATGGGCAATATTGCCAATTTTTTAACATAGCTGAAGCGGAGGTTCACCCCTTTATAACTCGGGAATTACTTAAGTATATGAAAAAAAGTGAATAGTTTTGGGTTAATTGATCTGTCGTTGCAAACTGCTCATGATATTGACCTCCAAACTTTATTTTGGTGGAAGCTGTGTCTACTTTAATGTAAAAAAATGTGTACAAACACGTTGATGCGAACCAGTTTTTTTTATGTTCTCTATCGATTTGTGACTAAGCCACTCATTGCACGGTCTTCGTGTCAAAATAAAACTAGAAGCCAACAAAATGGGGACTACGCCCCTTATGTATCATTTTTCAAAATTTTCACTGCATATACCTTTAAATGATGCTGACATTTTGAAGCTCGATTTTTAGTGTTTTTTTAATTTTAATTCTAGCTTTAATACGCAAACAGGAATTTCTAAAAATCGATTATAAGATTATTGTAGTCGCGAATCTGCGTCATTTGATATGTATTTTGTGTATGTAGTATGCACAGCTTCAGAGTAATACTCATCCGAAGGTGAGAATTTTGTGCGATCAAATTTCTCAAAAACCTATTTTTCGGTCCAAATTTTTAGATCTGTCAACTGAATGATATGGGTACCCGCGATCAATAAGGTTTTTTACGTTTCGGATGATATAAAATCTTCTTCGTGAAAATCCATCTACTAGAACGGTGGGAACTGGCCTTCCAAAAACACGAAATTTGGCAAAAAATGTTTTTAAAATATCGCGGATTTATTTGCGTTTTCTGTGTATCATTTCCGCATCAATAAATGACCTCATACGGATTTTGATCTTTTTCGAAAAGAGAACTTTAAAAACTTCAGCCGAAAGAGAGATGTACGCAATTTATCTCAAAAATAGATTTTGCTGGCACATCCATGGTTCTTAATGGACCACATTGAAATGGTATAGATCGATGTATTTTTTTAGGGTGCACACCGAAATCGGATGCGCGTTAATGGCATACGGAGTTTTCGGAAATTATTCGCGTTTTACTATTTTTTGGGTACTTCAATGTAACGTGCGGCACATCTTAGCCGTCAAATGAAATTTCGCAAAATATATATGGATTAGAAGATAAACTTCAGTACTTCCTGGAAACCGCATGCGCATCAAATGATTTTGAGAATTACGCGATTTAGACGCAATTTAAAATGTATATTTCATAATATTATTTTATTTTAAGATTTATTCCTATTTATAGAATTCTAAGATTTATCGGAAGGGTCTTGATATAATCCGCAAGGCGTATACTTATACACAAAAAGTGATTAGTTTTATATATGTAAATTTTTCGGCGAAATTCGGGTAAAATAGCAGAATAACCCCAATATTTTTTTCTGAAATTTCTTGTATAAAATTAAAAAAAATGAATATGATGACATTATTTTTTCGAACCAAAAACAAATATCTTTCCTCAATATCTTGTTTTGTTGTCGCTGTGATTTAGAAACCGCTACACGGTCTTGTGTGATTTTGATATCATTTGATTCATCATGGTTTTTAGATTATGTAGATATTTTTAAAATAATTTTCAGGTGTGTGTATGTCATTAATATAATGAAAATATTGATGTAATCTGCTATATTTTTTTATTTTTCACATATTTCGCGAATATGTGCAACTTTATCGTGATTATTATAATATATTCATATTCTTATTTTACGGAGGAAGATATATATCAACGTTTTTGGTCAATATAATAAAAAAAACATAGATGTGCCACAAAAACAAAAAAGCTGATTTTTTGAAAATGGAATATTAAAAAATTGGCAATATTGCCCATATATAGAATGTATTTACAAAGAAAAACCAGCATTTCATTATATACAATATCAGAATATCGCCAAGGGGAATCAGGTAAACTATAAAATAAAACCAGTGAGAGGAGCAGTGTAGTCGAACTTCTATGGATCTATATTCGACTAGAAAAATGCGATTCTGGTCCATTTCGTTCAATAAATATAATTAGACTACCATAGAAAACTGCAGGTGTCGTCTTTGGAAGTTAATGAACATGGCGATAATGGTAATACTAAACAATAGCAGAATAGGTGGAACCCAGAAAATATTTACCAAAAATATTTACAACAATTCAGAGGTCAACTTATATTGACCCGCTAAATATTGACCGATTATCATGAAAAGCCATGTTTGTTTCTGGGTCGTATCAATTTCTCCGTGTACAATTTTGTTGTGTTCTTGTCAGAAAAAGACACAAATAAGATTTTTGGTCCAATCATCTCCTAAATATTAACCGATCAGTACCAAACCGAGCCGAACCGATGGTACATTTTGTGAGGCTTGGTCCATAACGCTGTATTTACAAATTATAATGCACAGGCGGGCGAATAAGCTGTCTATTTCGACTCAGCTAGTCGAGATATGGCGATCGGTATACTAAATGGCATACTCAGTAATATTACACTGAGCAACAAGATTTTGGGGAGAGTGGAATTTCTTATGTGAACGAAAGGCCTTGGTGAATATATTTAGAATTCAGAAGGCCCGAAGTTGCTATAGGTCAAGTTTTTGAGTTATGGCGTGATGAGTTATGTCTTTGTTTTCAGTTAAGCGGGTTACTTTCGAAATGATATGCCTTCAGTCAAATCGAATAAATATTTGATTATGAAAAACTGTCGGATTTGTCCTATGACCTCACATTAATAACATTTATTTGTGAAATGGAGAAATTGATGCTTAAATTCTCACACACATTCGATTAACACACCATTTTAAAACCAGTGAGTGATGCAGTATTATCGGACTGTGCCGACCATATGATAGCCTACCCAACTACCACTGAGCTCTAAGTTTCTGCGACATTTGAACTCTCTTGGCCGATTAGATGTCAACAGCTCCTCTGCGGCGTCTTTTCTGAAACTTGTTTTCCGGGAGTAAAAATATTCTGAGCCCCCATAATATTCAAATTTTGTTATTTTATAAAAAAAGTTTTGTGGAGTTCGGCTTATAATTATGGGGTCTAGTGCGACTAGAAAGCAGACAAAAATAAAGTTTTCGCTCCATTTAAATCCCGAAATATCATCTGATCGTCAACGAAAGTTATAGGCGTTATCCTTGTGCATAACTGGAACCGCATGTACAACCTTCTTGCCGTCGGCTCTAAATGTATGCATTCTAATGTGGTGGTGGTAAAACTAAAACAATATCAGAATACATAGTCACCTGTAAAATTTTACGCATAACTCCCACATCCAGCGACATACCCCAATATAGTTGGTATCAATTTAAAGACCAAACAATTCTCTTTGATATAATGTCGACTTCTCGGGTCAATGTCTTTCAGGAGTAAATGTATACACACCAGAATTTTGCACACAAAAATGGTGTCCATTTGACCCGATAATACAGTTATGCTTATTCTATGGTCAGACCCCTTTCTCTGTGTAAAATTTCGTGATGTTCGGGTCATAATTGTGACCAGAAAAACAGACAAAAATAATGTCCATTTCATCTCCTAAATATTTACGTATCATTACCAAAAACAATATGGACCTTCTTTGGTCCATAACTGTGGCCTGTATCGTGTTTACAAATTATAAAGGGCAAACGGACGGACACACATGTCAAGATCGACTCAGCTATTCGAGATATGACGATTGGTATGCTTTGAGATGGGTATAGGACCAATATTCGTATGACACAATTTTTTTACAATACCTCAAGTAGTTTGAAAGTTGTCGCACAAGAACCATAGTCTAAAATTGTTAATTTTCGGAATTTCAATCTACAGCATCAATAGATGGCGCTGCGGTCGCAAAATAGTAAAGCAATATATATAACATTGTCCATATATGGTGTAAAAAAATAACTTTCATGTTTAAAGTCTTCTTATAAAATACCAGAATATCTATTTTTATAATTTCTAACATTCCAAAAATACAGCTACCCACATTATTAATAAGAATTAACTCCAACTATGACTTATGAGGTTCCATGTAAAAGTGTTCGTCCACAACATGTTGAAGCAAACAAATAATTTTCCTTTATTGTTAATGTGAAATTTTAGACGATAACCACCACTGGTCATTAGTTTTATGGGTCGCAGGTTTTGGACACCAGAAAAAAAAGGAAACAATAACAAAAAACATACTTGTGGTATGATGATGATGACCACAATGTTTATACACGCTGATTGCTTGAATGTGGGGCTGTTGACGACGGCGACGACAACATACACACCATGTTCTACATATTGACCATGTCATTTGTTTGGTCATGTCAAAAAAGCAACGACGGCGAAAGAAATCACAAATAAATAATATGCACCTTTATATTAGTGGCTTTATAAATAAAAATCCTTTGTCCTTTTCCCACTTGGAGAGATATGGGACACATTTGTGGGTGAAATATTTTTTGGGGAGTTTGTGTTTTTTTCTGGGTTTTAGTTGTTGTTAAAAAGGTTCCATGAACTTAACTTTTTGATTTAGTTGTTAGCCGGCTTTGTGGGATAATACACGTGTCCTTCTGTTCAAAAATATATTTTCACTCTTTGACAGTTGTAATCAGTCAGTCAGTCTGTGCGCTAAGCAAGGAGTCATTCAGTCAGCCAGTTATCATTAGTGTTGTTGGAAAATAACATTTTTTGTTGTGCGCTTGTGTGTTCATTCGTACATTTTGTTGAAGTTGTAATTATTTGTTGGAAAATTTGAAATAATGTATATAATATTTTAGTGAAATTTACATTAGAGTTGATTGATTGTTTTTAGTATTGATTTGGTTGTAAAATTGTAATTTTTTGAATAATGATTTTTTGATTAGCTTTATTTTAATTATGTACATTTTATTTACTTACAGTACTACCAATGAATGGTCAGCTGCCAAATGATAGTGCCCGTAAACGGCGTGGAAGCGATGGTAAGTTTGGGTGAAATATGTGAAAATGATTTGACTTAAATAAAAGATCCACGGAATAATATTGTATGTTTACGCCCAATAAATATAGAAGATCAAAATTTGTTCATAATGCAGATAAGAATGTTATCAAATACCTTCTGGCCTTCTATTGGAATTCCATCGGGTCAACTAAAAATACCAAGAAAATTATTTTACAGGAGTATTTCTGATGCTCCTCTAGACAATTATTGTCTTGAATTATATACATAATAATTCCAATAGAAAACCATTATAATTCCAATAGAAGACTAGGAATTCCAAAAGAAGACCAGAAGGTATTTTTATACGAGATAAAAATATATTTTTATAGAAGACCGGTAGTTTCTATGAAGACCTTCTTCTTATATTTTAAAATGAAAAGCTGAACTTCCCAGGCGGGCTTCTTTAAAGAAATCCATGTGGTTTTCCGACGGAATACCTACTATAGGCCTTTTTATGGAATACACACAAATCTAAGTTAGAATGCCCAGAAGGTATTTTTATAGGTTGAAGGCTGAAAGACTAGAACGACTTTCTACAGAAGACTAGAGGGTCTACTTATAGAAGACCAGTCTTTTTAGAAATCCATTGTGGTTTTCTAACGGAAAACCATACGAATTTTTTATAGATAGTATAGTTCCTACTATAGGCCTTTTTACGGAATACGATCAAATCTTAAGTTAGAATGCCCACAAGTTTTTTTTAAGACTTGAGGTTGAAAGACTAGAGAGACTTTCTAAAGAAGACCAGTAGGATTGGGCCGTCTTATGAAAGAGTAAAATGTGCAAGTGGTAAAATGCTTGGGAAATAGTTTTTTTAATCTCTGCATTATCAGAGGATTGAGGACAATTTTATTTATTTTCTGCCAAAGCAAAAGTTTGACAGATAAATATTTTAAAAATCCCCAAATTACCAGAGGCTCAAAAAAAGAACCCCTTAAAATTGACGCATTGACAACATTTTTTAAGAAAAAAACCAATAATCCAGATTCTTAAAATATAATTCCTCAAATAATCCCTGCATTACCAGAGGCTTGGAAAATATGTCTTCAAAAATCTCGTCCTGAACCCGAGGCATAAAGAAAATTTTTTTAAAACACTTAGATAGCCACATGTTTTGTAAAATGTATTAAATAAAGCAGCTTTAGCAGGATAGAAAAATAATCTTCAAAAAATCTCCACATCATATTTATTGAAAAATTCCTAAACGACATTCAGATATTTTCTTAAAAATATCTCTTTGTTGGCGGAATTATTAAAAACGAATCCTTCAAAGCATTGCTTCCTTAACAAAGATTTTCAAAATACTTTACTAAAAATCCGCACTAAACTAATAAGCCGGAAGAAAGTGAATTCCACAAAGAAAACCTCGGCTTGAAAAAAGAGGTTTGAAAATAAAATGTAAAAAAGTTTCGACATTTCCAGCCTTTAAAAAATATTTCTGAAAAAAAGTCCTCAACCCCTTTTCTTACCAGAGTTTTCGAAAAAATGTTTCATTAAAAAATTCTCCTGGTTTTTGTAAACCAAATAAAAAAAAATATATATATATCCTCCCCCGCATTATCGGGAGCTTGAAAACTCCCCTAGCCATGAAGAAGAATTATTCCAAACACCTGGATCGATCGAGTTTTTCAAATTGTTTTTAATAAAACAGAATATAGAAAAGTGCTATTCCCTGTATTGATAGAGGCTTGAATAAGGTAATTTAAAAATTCCGGAATTATTTCCCGAAGATTTCCTAATTAGAAGAAGCTTAAAAAACTTATTTTTCAAAATACTACATTAAAAATTCCCATTGACCAGGCTTCAAGAAATTAAAAAAATATATATATGCTTGCCTAACCAATATCCTTCAAAATATTCGTTAAAAGGGTTTTTTTTAGCAAATACGCTCTAAGGTAGGCTAGAAAGAGAAGTCCTCAATGAAAACCTGGGCTTCAAAATATATTTAAGTTTCGATATTTCCAGCCATTAAAAAAGATTTCTGAAAAAGATATTCTTATTCCCTTGTCGTATCAGAGTTTTGAAAAAAATATTTCTTTAAATAATCCACGTTTACAAAAGTCAAATAAAAATTTAAAAGACAGATTTTACAATTATTCTTACTGAGGTTCAGAAAAACAAGTTAAAGAAATCAGTGGCTTATTAGAGCTCAGAAATAATTTGTCTTTAAAAACTGCAAGGCTTAGTAGAGACTCGAAACCCATTGTTCAAAATATCAACACCTATCCAAAGTCTTTAAAAATTGATTCCTTTTAAGAGACTTCATAAATATTCAATAATTTATCCAGGCCTTACCAGTAGGCCTATTCTGTAACTTTTTAACAACATTCGATATTGTTTATTTTACAACAATTTCATTTGTTTGTTTTGTTGTTTTTACAATAACAAAAGAAATTTAAACAATATCGAATGTTGTTTAAAGTTACAGAATAGGCCTACAGGGCTTAGAAAAATATTCTTTCATTAATTTTTCTTTATGAAATCCAAACCCCACGAAAGATTTAAAAATACATTGTTTATGAAATGGGGGATTTGAATAATATTCTAATATCTAAGATCAAAGGTCTTACAATACATCCCATATTCACATAGCAAGATTCTATATTGTTAAGAATGAAAAAATAAAATAGAACATATTATGATTTTCAGAATTTATATATATTCGATATTAGGTGTAGCGCATATATTCAAATTATATATGTAGCGTAAAGATTAATTGAGTTAATATACACTAATTTTCTTCTACATATATGTATCCCCTTTAGTCACCTTTATTTGGTTAACATTTCCCTAATAACATGCTTTTTTTCTTTGGTAATGGTACTTAATGATTGTTAGATAGTTGTCATTACTATTTTTTATTTATTTATTTATTTATACACTTAGTTAAATATAAGAAAGCGCAAAGGTCATTCGCTCTTTCCTTTTTATTACACACAAAGAAACCCATGCTATTATATACAAATTAATTCGTTTAATGGAAATTCCCAAAAATAGTTGTGGAAATAATTTCAATTGTTCTAGGCCAATGAATTTACACGAAACACTTTTTTAAAATAATTGAAAAAAAAACGACAAATAACAGACATTGTAGTCAGTTTGTGGCACGTCATGTGTATCAGTTCTCATGGGAAATATTAAAACAATTAACGAAATTAATTTAAAGAAATTGTCAATTTATACTCAAATATAAACGAGAACATACACAATTTGGAAACTACTAAAAATCGATGATCTATGATATTAGTTAAATTAAAGTTAACAGTCTTATAAATAAATCCATATTTTAAAATGTCGTTACAGGAGAATATTGGTTAAAGAAAATAAAAAAATGTTTATTTATTAATTATATCGATTAAAACACTCACAAGTACACCCAAACGTATACGTAATATACATAAGTCAAATATAATATAATAAATAAGTCAAATATAATATAATAAATATATAATAAAAATAGATAGAAAGATATAGATTCTACATTCTCTGAAATATTTGTATATGAACTTAGATTGTAGATTCGGTTAATATTATTTTTGGTATCTAATTTATGTAAAGAGATTTTCCTAAAAATATTTTTATATTTCCTTTAAAGCCGTACAATTTCCTTCTAAAAAAGTACAAAGTTAACCAACTTCGTGTATATCGGAATTTTAAAGGTGTAGCCACAATTGGCAACAAGTATAATTGTCGTATAAACACACCAAAATGAGGTGTAAATTACAGCCACATCGGTTGGAATTTACCCCTATCAGTATCATGGACGGACGGGGCTGATCATATGATACCCTACACAACTACTTCAAAAATTTAGCTTTTTGCGATATTTACATTCTCTTGACTAATTATAGGTCAACAGCTCCACTTTCTAATCCTGGAATAATTTCCAAATCCGGTTTTCCTGAGGTGAATATTTACGCCGTAAAATAAATATTTTGTCACTTAAGGTATTGGTTGATTTGACCCTCAAAATATTGATCGATTATCATTTGCAGCCGTTCTAAGTATTTGGTCAGATCCCCTTCACCGTGTAAAATATGTGATGTTGTGCATATTATAACAAAGTTTTCGGTTCATTGCACCTACTAAATATAATATAAATATATAAAAATATAGGCGTCCTTCTTGACCATAACCGGATCTTCATGTAATATTACATAGCGACCAGCGTAATCTTTTGCGTCCTATAGAGGGGTAATAGTAATACTAGACATTATCATAACACATAGACACCTTTAAATATTTACGTATAATTCCTACATTCGAGTACATATACTGTCAACTTATTCGATCTTTGCCAGTTTGGGGTAAAAATGTACCCCCCAGAATATCATTTTTGTCATTTTTCACTGTAAAATTTCGTTAAAGGCCTCTTGGATACTATACTATCAACTTCTCGGCTCTATGTCCTTCAGGAATAAATATATACGCTATAGAATACAATTTTTTCATTTTTCACACAAAAGTCAGGGTCCATTTGACTTGCTAAATATTGACAGATCCTTATCAAAACAGGCTTGCTTATTCTCCGGCCCTATCCCCTTCTCCATGCAAAAATTCTCGTTGTTTGGTCCATAATTGCGGCCTCTGGAGCGACCAGAAAAACCGACAAAAATTCAGTATTTGGTCCATTTCATCACCTAAACATTATCCGATCTTTACCAAAAGCAATAGGGGTCTTCATTGGGCGAAACGTTCCTACATGCAAAATTTCGTGAAGATTGGTCCATAACTGTGGCCTGTATCGTGTTTACAAATTATAATGGACAGACGGAAGGACACGCATGTCTAGATCGACTCAGCTAGTCGAGATATGAAGATCGGTATACTTAAAGGTCGGTTTAGGAACAATATTTCGCGGCGTTGCAAACTCTTGGGGCTGCACAAAAGCTATAATACCCTGACAACATAGTTGTGTAGGGTATATAAATACCTAAAATTCTTGGGACCTTAATTATGCTGCTATATATTTGCCCACACACAATTTAATATATGTGATGTATTTCAATAAGTGTGTTAACCAACAAGAATCCAGAATTCAAAATTACGGCCTTCTTGAATGGACCATAGAAAGACATAAAATGGGGTGGTGCCCTTATGTAGAGATTACATCAACAACATGTTATAACTGTGAAGAGGTCGTTATGTTCGACCTGAGCTGGTCTTTAAACACTAATTCAGTTTGAAAATACGCCCAGTATCATAAAAAGTGAGCGAGACCTGTATATGAGGTATACCTCAAAATGAACACTTTTTTTATATTGAATCCTGGATTTCTTCTGAATAATATATAGCTAAAACATTTAAGATGTCAGAATTCGGAACTATCACTTGGGACCTATTGGGACCAGAGGGTGGAAGAAGCTGGACCACGTTTTCTTTCAAATTTATGTTTAAGGAACTTCAAAGGACCCATCAAGAACTTGGAACGTGCCAAGAGTGATGGGGTGAATTATTTGTTGATTCTAATTTTTTTTATTTTCAAGTGATAAGTGATGGGACCTATTCCATAACGTACATGTGTTTATCTTAAAATTTATGTTACTCCTCTTGGAAGCATAGGTCTTCGACAAAGCATAGTCATCTTGCTTCATTAGTCCTTGTGTTACTTTCGTGTTTTTTATTCCAGTTGAGTAAATGATTGATCTGCAGTCATCTCTCGCTGCCTAGAGAGAAATAATGCCTCATTGAATTTTTGTAATGATTGTGGTCCTGGCTAATTTTACCATTTTCTTATTCTTATTCATTCCCATTTTGTGTTACCCTCATGTGTTGATACAATTAGAAGGCCAGGATCCTTCGGATGCTTCTTATATCGAGGTTAGCCTTTTTTTACAAATATTCGAAATCCATGTTTTATTGCACTTTATTATCTTGTGGTATCCCCCTTGGGAGCATCGGGTTTCCACAAAGCATCGCTATCTTATTCCGTTAGTCCTTGTGTTAGTTTGATGTTTTTTTATTCTAGCTGAGAAAATGATTGTTCTGCTGTATCCTGCCCTAGGTGATGGACCAGTCATTTATCGTTGCCTAGAAACAACAGTTCCTTGATCATTGTGGAATGGTTGGGGTTCTTGCTTATTTTAGTATTATTATTTTCTTGTGTGTGGCGCTATCTCTTGTCATTCCTATTTTGTGTTACCCTCATGTGTTGATGTATGGACCTATTCCAAAACCTAAATTTGTTTATCTTCCAATTTTCTTCTGTTACTCCTCTTGGGAGCGTATGACTTCCACAAAACATTGCCATCTTATTTCATTAGTTCTTGTGTTAATTTAGTGTTTTTAATTCAAACTGAGTAAATGATAGATCTGCCGTAGCCAGCCCTAGATGATGGGGCAGTCATCTATCGTTGCCTAGAAACAACGGTTCCTCGATCTTTGTGCTGAAGTCCCTGCTTATTTTTAGTGTTGCCATTTTATTCTGTGTGGCGTAATTTCTAGTCATTCCCCTATTGTGTAATCCTCATATGCTGATGTTGATACTACTAGAAGACCAGGGTCCGTCGGATGTTTGTGTGAATGCACTTGGAGGGAATGTGCCCTCCCATTTTAAAATCCGATCCACCAGACATCAATCTCTTCAAGGGTTTCCCCAATTTGTTTTTTTATTTAAATTAAAAAAAAAATCCTTCTACTTTTTGTTGCACCTTTTCGAAAATTTATTTTCCTTTCGTCTAATAAACAACCTTGAGCATTGATGGCGATAAAACTTTCACTTTTCAACCTTTCTCACTTCAACTTACTTTTACTAAAGAAATTTATAGTAATGTCATTTTCATTGCTTTCAATGATTGCACTTGAAAACAAATTTCATAAAAATTCTCGATGAGTATTTTTGTGGGGCATGGAACAACCAATCCAACAAATATCTGCAATTTTTGTTTTATTTAAAGAAGTAGTCAGCGTGTGAAATAAATCACAAAATAAGTTTGCTAAAAAAAACTTGTCTTGATTGACATGCAAACATGCAATAAATAATAATTGAAAAACAAGAGTTTTTCACAGGCAAAGACACTACAGGCAAGGCGAGCACAAAACTTTAAATTAGTTCTCGCGCTCAAAGGACTTTTTTGTTTTTGGCGAAAGGAGCAATGAAATGCTAATTTTGTTCATTTTATTTTCTTTGTTTCCTTTGTAGATTTCTCAGTCAAGTTATCGACCATACGAATATGGATGCACGAAAAGGAAATTGGCAAATTAACCCGCATTTTATGGGCTGGTCAGGGAAATCGTTTAAGGCAACAGGCCAGTACCAATCCAAGAGTTAAACGATTTCTAGCAGCAGTGCCTTATGTGATGGTGAGTAAAATATTTCAGCATTTCGATGACAATAATCATGTAATGTATGTTGTACATACCTTAGAATTCCATACGCGATGTCCATCAAGCTGTTATCGATAATAACTTGGAAAATCTGCAGGCCCATTTGGAACCGCCCGTACCACCTGCCCTGGTAACATGTCGGGATGCCAATGGCTTAAATCTCATACACAAAGCGGCGGGTTTGGGCCATGCCACAATTTTGGAATATCTGATCACCACCTGGCCCGATGGCGTACATGAGTGTGATATAACCGGCAAAACCCCATTGCATTGGGCTGCCAGTGCCAAAAATAATATGCGCTGTTATACGCTGCTCACGCAAGCTGGCTGTGACGAAGAAGCCGTTGATTATGTAAGTTTGTCACTTTTGGAAACAATTTTTAAATTAAAAATCCAGGGCAACAAAATTTTGATTGAAATGTTTTGTTTGACACTTTTCCCTCTTCCTGCTCCATTCCTTTTTGTTCGAATGACATCGCCAATTGGTTGCGACTTAAATTATAAAACAGAAAATGAAAACGCCTTCATTTTATCGCCATAAACCGCATGAAATTGAAAGGGCGTTTCTGACGTATGTACCCGAGTCACCACGAGTCTCCCCAGATGTCGCCACAGATTGGGAGGCCCTAAGCGATGACAGTGGTGATGGTAAGGTGAGTATACCAATGGTTTTGTTTCTGTGATTTTATTTATTCAAGGTGAACTGAATTAAAAATAATTTATTGCTATTTTATTTGTTTTATTTTTTTTTAAAAATTTGCCCTCAGAAGCCCGACATTAAAATACCCGAAATGAATGGTTTTGGCAGACATTCAAATACGGAAAGTAATGAAAATACATCGGAAGCCGAAATGACAGAGGGGTAAGTAGTGAATGTTTATTTTTTAAATAAACTAAATAAATCATGACCTTGATCAAAATAGATCAAAATTGGAAAGTCCAAGGCCTACCACAGTAAATCGAATTGGTTTAGTAAAATTAGGTTTTTATTCAACATTGTCACCTTTGCTTCAAAATATACCTAATTTCCGACGATCGTATTATGTGAGTGTGTTTTTTATTCCATCTGAGTAAATAATTGATCTGGTGTAGACTCCTGCCCTATGTGATGGGGCTGCCATCTATCGTTGCCTAGAAACACGGCTTCCTTGAACTTTGTACAATGGTTGGTGTCTTTGCTTATTTTAGTATTACCCTTTTCTTCAGTGTGGCGCTATGTCCTGTTTCCATCTGCATGTTCATACATGGATGGTCATTCCGATGCTTCTCATATGGAGGTTATAAATATTCGTAATCCACTTTGGAAAAAAATAATAATTGTTCTTCTTCCGCTGAGAGTAATTTGGGTCTTTGAGTAAAATACACTTGGTGGGAATGTACCCTCCGATGTAAAAATCGGGTCCGCCAGCTATCGATCTTTTCCATACCACATTTTCGACAATCTGTTGATCTATCAATGATCTTAATTCCAGGAAATAATTGATCTGCTATAGCCTGCCCTAGGTGATGGGGCATCCATCTATCGTTGTCTAGAAACAACGTCTCCTTGAACTTTGTGCAATGGTTGGGGTCCTCGCTAATTTTAGCGTTACTATTTACTTCTGTAATTCCCATTTTGTGTTATCCTTATGCGTTGATGTTGATACCATGCTTCTCATGATACCATGCTCTCATATGCTTCTCATATGGAGGTTACAAATATTCGTAATCGACTTTTCCGCTGAAATTTATTAGTGTGTTTGTGTAAAATGCTCTTCGTGGGAATGTGCCCTCCGATGTTAAAATCGGGTCCGCCAGCTATCGATCTTTTCCATACCACATTTTCGACAATCTTTTAATCTATAAATGTTCTTCATTCCAACTGTGTAAATAATTGATCTACTGTATCCCAGGTGATGGGACAGCCATCTATCGTTGCCTAGAAACAACGCCTTCTCGAACATTGTGGAATGGTTGGGTATCCTTGCTAATTTTAGTGTTATTGTTTTCTTATGTGTGGCGCTATCTCCTGTCTCCATCTCCATGTTGATACCATTATAAAACCAGGGTCCTACGGATTCTTCTCATATGGAGCTTTTTTTTACAAATATTCGTAATCCACTTTGAAAGAGTTTTTTTCTTCTTGCGCTGGGATTAATTGTGATGTTTTTGTAAAATACACTTGGTGGGAATGTGCCCTCCGAAGTTAAAATCTGGTCCTCCAGCTATCGATCCTTTCCATACCACATTTTCGACAATCTTTTAATCTATAAATGTTCTTTATTCCAACTGAGTAAATAATTGATCTGCTGTAGCCAGCCCCAGGTGATGGGACAGCCATCTATCGTTGCCTAGAAACAACGCCTTCTTGAACATTGTGGAATGGTTGGGTATCCTTGCTAATTTTAGTGTTATTGTTTTCTTATGTGTGGCGCTATCTCCTGTCTCCATCACCATGTTGATACCATTATAAAGCCAGGGTCCTACGGATTCTTCTCATATGGAGTTTTTTTTACAAATATTCGTAATTCACTTTGAAAGAGTTTTTTTCTTCTTGCGCTGGGTTAATTGTGATGTTTGTGTAAAATACACTTGGTGGAAATGTGCCCTCGGATGTTAAATTCGGGTCCGCCAGATATCGATACTTTCCATACTACATTTTCGACAATCATTTAATCTATAAATGTTCTTTATTCCAGCTGAGTAAATAATTGATCTGCTGAAGTCTGCCCTAGGTGATGGAGCAGTCATCTATAGTTGCCTAGAAAAAACGGCTTCTTCACCTTTTACAAGGATTGGCGTCTTTGCTTATTTTAGTGTTACTCTTTTTTTCTATGTGGCGCTATATCCTGTCTCCATCTCCATGTTTATACCATTAGAAGGCCATGGTCCTTTCTATGCTTCTCATATGGAGGTTATAAATATTCATAATCCACTTTGAAATATTTTATTCCTCTTCCTCTGGGTTTCATTAGGATGTTTGTATAAAATAAACTTGGTGGATCGATGCATTCCAAATCACATTTTCGACAATGTTTTGCTTTATCAATATTCTTTATTCCAGCTGAGTAAATAATTGATCAGCTGTAGCCAGCCCTAGGTGATGGGGTAGTCATCTGTCGTTGCTTAGAAATAGAGCCTCCTTGAACTTTGTGCAATGGTTGGGGTCCATGCTTATTTTAGTGTTACCCTTTTTTCTTTTTTGTGCCGCTATCTCGTGTTATTTTGAAATGCAAAATTACTTCCACTTCGAAAAATGCGGATATGACCTTTAAGATATCTTAAATTGAAGAGGTCAATATAGGACCATGACCTATATGATATCATATATTAGTCATGGTCCTATATTGAATTGCTTATTTTTTTTGGAAGAAGTGTTTCTGTCCCCTGCAAATGCCAATTGCTGTCTCTATATTTTAGAAACAATGCTTCCTCGAACTTTGTGTTGTTTGGGTCCTGCATTTTTTGGTTTTACCATTTTCTTCTGTGTGGCGCTGTCTCATGTTTTTCCCATTTAGTGTTGTGCTTCGGATACTTCTTCATAAACTCATCCTAAGGAAGTACATTTTAGAAACAACGTCTCATTGAACTTAGTGCAATGGTTGGGGTCCTTGCTTATGTTAGTGTTGCTATTTCTTCTGTGTGGCGCTTTTTCCTGTCATTTTGTGCTATCCTCATGCGTTGATGTTGATACCTATAGAACGCCAGGGTCATTCGGATTCTTATCTAATGGAGCATTTTTGAAGATTACGCTTTGAAAGATGTTTTTCCTCTTCCGATTGTATGTGTTGTAAAATACATTTAAAGTTCAGATCATAATTAGGTACATTTTGCTAAAAAATTATATCAGGAATTATTAGAAAGCTTTCTTTGCAATTTTCTTATCAAAAAAGAACCCTTGATAATCGTTACTTTATTGAAAATACCTCAACCCATTTTAAAGTTATTTCAATTTTCCCAATACTTGGGTTTTCCGTTACGAACTGTCGACTGGGACGCCATCTATTGATCCAGATCGAAATGGCAAAAACGAAAAATAGAAGGTTTACTTCAATGTTCAATAACTTTTGAAATACTTGAAATAAGCGGGCGAATATTAATATTTTTTGGTAGGGAGATTTGTTACCATATACGACTACAAAATACCAAATTGCAGCAAATTCGGTTAAAAACGGCCTCAAAAATTGGTGTCGTATGAAAGATACGAACTCTAGCTATTTCGATATGGACTCATAAGTTTATAAAACTAAAATGTATTATACCATTTCATTCAAATATAAGAGTTTACAAACCATAAATATAAATCTATTTCGTATTCCGTATCAAAACACAGTGCGAGTGCTGCCGATGATGATGATGCCGGTGGTGGTGGTGATGATGAAGCCCTAACCGAAGAACCAGAAAAAGAAGAACCTGCCGCTGATGATGAAAATGGTGAAGAAGCTGAGGCACCAGCCGAAGATGGTGAGGAAAACGAAAAACCAGCTGAAGATGAACAACCTGATGAAGATGAGGACAATGAAGATGATAAGGGAGGAGAGGAGGAAGAAGAAAAGCCCGAAGAAACAAATGAAGAAACCCAAACAAATGAAGCTGATGCTTCGGACGATAAAGATGAACCACAAGATGAAGTAAGTACTGTGTTTTATAAATTGCTTGTTTGCTTTTGAGATAAATGCACCCCTTAAGATTAAAGTTAGGGCAAGAAGTATGTAAATACAATATTTAGGAAGAATATTATAAAACCAGAAGCTTTGACATTTTTTTAAGAAAATTAGCTAGGCCAAAAATAAAACAATAAAAGCTTTTATTATATTATAATTTTTAATCATAATTTATTTCGTTTTTAATTTTGAAAGAAACAATTGGGATTATTATATACAAAACAAAAGATTGTGCGAAAGAAATAATTTTGTAAATATTAAAATTTTTTGTTATGTTAATAAAAAATGCTTGAAAGCACCATGATCCTTATGCAAAACAAAAAAAAAGCTTTTCTTGATTGTCTAATTCCCATAACCCACAATGTTTTACTGACAAACATATAATAATAAGAACAAAATGAACTTAAAAAATAACAACAAAATATGATCTGTTAAAAGTAAGCCATTGTCGGCCTTGATTTTACTCCCCCCCCCCCCCCCCTTTTGTTCATTTTGTTAAAAAATTTCCTTTAATTCTATTTTAAGATGGTATAAATTCGTTTAAAATGTGGATGTCTTTAAGCTTAATATATGTTCTAAAATTTAAAGTAAAAGAGAGAGTGAGATAGAAAATTTCAATATTCAAATTTTAAGCAGGAAAAGGCACACTAGCAACACTAAATAGAAATGATTTAAGAAGGTGAGACACTATTCACAGCCGTTTTGGAATATCCTGATATCTTGTCTTTTTCGAGCTCTCTTCAAGACTGTAAAAAACAAACAATTTGTCGGTTTGGATATGGAGGCTATGTTAAAACATGGATCTATAATGATAATTGTCAGCCTCCAAAACCCCGAAGTGTCAAATTAGAGCCTTCTCGTTTGAAAAATGCGGCTAAAACCATAAAAATACAAAAAAAAAAATAGGCGGGGCCTTTATATGACGGCAATGTCAAAACATGGACCTATAACGACCAGTTTCGCTTGGGAAAAGTGACTAATACTCGAAATACCGAAAATTGCGTGGGATCTTTAAATGGGCCTACATTTATCATTTCCTGCATAGATGCCAGTCCATAAAAATCTGGCATGTCAAACTACAGCCAACTCAGTGGAAAAATTCGTCTAAATCTTTTATAATACCGAAATTGGGTGGTACCATTATATGGGAGTTATACCAAAACATGACAAAGTTCTGCATATATGAATTTCTCCCTTCAAACACCCGATATACCAATTCACAGACCTTTGTATGAAATCTATACCGAAATGTAGACCAATATACCCTATTTGCAATACCAAACACCTTAGGAGTACTAGCAATGTTAATACAAAAAATTTCTGTCAACAGTCGGATATCGCTAAATCGATTTTGACCAAGAATATATATTTTAGAGTCTCCGATGATTTTTTGTAAAGGGAATGACAAATTTAATATACACTCCAGCTGGAGGAAGTGATATTTTCAGGAACTACATTTCATTAGAAATGGTATCGAATTCCTCTCCAAAATATGTTACACCACATTGCGTAATCTAACAGTGAAAGGTCTTGGAAATATTGGCGACCTATATACCGCCTACTATTCTTGCCCTCAGATTAAATATATAGAAATATCGATACAAAATGTCTTTGGACCAAATCCATCTACCTGACAGTTTCTAGTGGATTTACAATGGTCTCTCTGGTTGATTGGTGCGATTGATAACTCTGAAATGGAGTGATATATCTTCAAAACTTATATAAGGACTTAATATAGAGCATATCTGTCCACATCTTCTCCCACTAACGGTCAACGTTTCGATGAAAGCGTATTATTAGTGACAATATGATCAATGTAGATCTTGATTTACCGACTTAACAAATATTTTACAAATTTCCCATCAACAGGGCCGAAATTGTGCACCCTCTACAAAAAATCCAGATTTATCATATGTACATCTGTGAAATTTCTAAAATTTTTTACTATATCAAACTATGGGCCTATATATATAAAATCCTCTGCGACACTGAAATGCCAAATTACGCCCACATCGGAAAATGGGGATATGCCATTTAAAATATCTTAAATTTAAGAGGACGATATATGGTCACTGTCCATTTTTTATTTGCAAGGAGGTTTTCTATCCCCTGAAAATGCCGAATTGCTGTCACTTTTGTCAGCAAAGGTCACTGAAGATTCCAAATAAAAAAATGGGCGAAGCTCTACATGGAACTATATCAAAACAAATGATCTGTACTACAAAATTTTACTTTCATATCATTCTCTATGAGACCAAAATACCAGATTCAGATAAAGTATGAACCTCAGGCTCTCAATTTTCTACTCATTTTCTGTAATTGGATGAGCCGTACTAGGCTGTGACAAATAATATGACCATAACACTTCGTCAATAGATATCCAACTAAATAGGACGCGTTTACATTAGTTTCCATTGTAAAACTATGTTCCACATATTTCTCGCCAAGAGAGCACGCGAGCAGTAGCTTGCCTAATGCTACTATACAAATATTTTTCATGTATATAACATAATTAGCAGGTCTTCTATAAATAGGAGAACGTCCTTAGACATCCAGTGGATAGGAAAATTTCCATGGAATACATTTAGTATGTTTTCTAATAAGGCGACGAAAGGACGGGTTTTCTATGGATAGAATTACGACATTCTTCTTTCATTACTGAGTAGGTATTCTCCTCTCTCTCTCTCTCTTAAATCCTAATTATATTAAGCTTAAAATACCTCCTTCAAATTTTAACGACCATATCATCTTAACATCTTTGTTCTATATTTCTCTGTGCTTAAAATCTCCCTATTAAAAACTGCAGAGGTTCTTAAAAAATAAAACAAAAAACAAATCCCTCAAAAAACTACAACAACAAAAACAAGAAAAAGACGAAAGAAATCAGTCGACAATTGTTTACTTTTTACAGAAACAAACACAGTCTGTAAATGAAACGAATGCCACCACCACGACCAATGACAACGAACAACCGGATACGACACAGGAAGCGGATATCGAGGAAAGTGAAAAACAAACTGACGAAGATGAGAGTGAAAATAATGAGGAGAATAGTAAAGAAACTGTAATTGAAAAGAGTAGAGGAGCGGATGAAAAAGACGAGGATGGAAAGGAAGCTCAGGAAAAAGATGAACCGGAAGTTAACGAAAAAGATGAAAAGGAATCTAAAGACAAAGAAGAAAATGAAAAAGAGGAAGGAAAAGATGAAAAACCCGAAGAGAAGGAAAATGATAGCAATGGCCTTGAAGAGACCAAAGAGGAAATTGAAAGCAGTGATACTCAAACTAAGACCAAAGAAGAGGAAATAGATCTAGAAAGTCATGATAAAGAAGAAGAAGAAAGTGTGGACCAAACTAAGAAAGATGATGATAATAATGGAGAAAATACCACCTCAGATGAAAACGAAATGGATGGTAAAACAATGGGAGAGGAAAATAAAGACACAGCAGACAAGGAAGATGAAAATAAGGTTGTGTTGGATGACGACAAAAAAGGTGAGCACAAAGAAGAGGAAGTAGTAGACGATAATAACAAGGAAGGTGATACAGTAAGTGGGGAAATGGAGGGCAAAGAGGAAATTGCAACGAAAGTTGAAGAAAAAGGAGAGGAGGAAATAAAAGCTCATGAAGCTCAAATAACAGAGCAAGCTGCGAATGAAAATGAAAAAGAGAGTAATGGTAAAAAAGAAGAACTGGTAGAAATCTCAAAAGACTCGGAAAATGAAGATGACAAAGAGAATAATGTAAAAGATGAAAAAGAGGATAAACACGAAATTGATAAATCCCTTGATAAGGATCCTAAAAATGATAATGAAGATAAAGAGAATGGTGATAAAAATGTGGCACCCATGGATGACGGTAAGCATGAAGATGGTACAGTTGAATCGACAAAAGAAGAAGAAGCTGAAACGAAGGGAAAACCTGATGAAAAGGTGAAAGAGATAAGTAGTAAAAATACAGAAAATGAAAATGTGTTAGGTGAAGTTAAAGAAAATGCCAAGGATAATGAAAAAGACTTCAAAGATGAAACCAACACAGATGACAATCAAAATGAAAAGGAAGCAAATACTACAGAAAAAGATGAAGAAAAGGAAGAAAAAGTGGAAGAAGAAATCAAAAAAGAAAGTATTACTAATAATGAAAGCTCTAACTTTCAGCTATTAGATGCTACACAAATAATTAAAAAGGACCAACATGAAATTTCTACAAATGGCGATAAGAAGGACACCGAAGTGAAAGAAGAAGACGAAAATAATAACAATGCAACAGCTAGCACAACTAATAAAGATGACGAGGATAACGATAAAACTCAGGATGACAAAAATGGTAACAGATCCTCAGAATCTCCACAAAAATCACCTACCAAATCCCCCAAAGCATCAGAAGAAGATCAAGACCTCTCAACTACCGAAGCTTTCCTCAAAGAAACCCAACAAGAAATTAGTGATAAATTCGATGAAATTACGGATAATTTAAAAGAAAATGTTAAAGATATTTCCAATAAAATAAAAAATATTTTTACCACTTCAGATGAAAATGAAAATAACAAAAACGAGCACGAGGAGGATGACGATGAGGAAAATAACACCCAAAAGGATGCGAATGAAAATGAAACGAACGATATTGTTGTAGGTAATGCTGCCATTACTCCGAAAACTGAACACAAACTAAATGGCAAGGGCAGTGGTCGTAAATCGTCTAAGCCACACCCGGGTGGTAGTGGTGAGAATAGTAGCGAAGACGACGAAGATGATGAGGTACAATTTGGCACTCTCTAAATTCTTTCGAAATGTTTTTTTGATTTGATTATCAAACTTCTAAGTAGTGTTGGATTGTTGCAAACCTATTTTTTCGTTAATCAAAACAACAAATGTACTTCTCACACCTAACTCACCAACCTCTCCCCCCATCTATTCTCTTTTTAACAATAACAAAAAATAAATAAAAAACTAAACAACAACAAATACCTTTGCACTGTGGATTCGTATACGATTTTTATGAAATAAGCAAATCTAATTACTTAAGTGATAAGTTAAAAAAAAAACCAACCAAAAAATGTTTCCTATTTGAAGTAGTTCCATAAACTTTGTATGTGTGTGTGATTTCTATGGCACAGTAGTTTCTATCTTCTATTTTTGTGGTCTAATAAGAGCATCATACATATATACATGATTCTATCAATTAAATAATAAAATTAAGTAACCAATATATATATATTTGTAATAATTTAGTTGAATTTTTCCTTGAAGTTATTGTGTGTAATTGTCTAAAATCTTCTTTATGTTATGAAGAACATGTTCGAAATAAAAAAAAAATATCTAAAAAATTTTTTTGAAATGTTTGTTGTATGTGGATTTTATTCTAAATTTTTTAGATATTATAATTGGCAAATAATTGTATTGTAAGGGATAAAATGTTATTAGGGAATATTGAAAGTGGATGTATTAATTCAGAAAATATAGATCGTCAATAATAATTCTATTCTAGGTCTATTATGAAATTTATTAATTAGAAACTCTAATAGATGTAATTTTTTCCGGTTAATGTGGAAAATAATATTGATTCTAACCTTAACTAAGGGTGTTTTGCTAAATGTTTATAGCATAAATGACTTGATCAAAATTGGAAATTATTTCAGAATATTTTTTATTGGTCCACCTTTAAGTATACCGATCATATCTCGACTGGCTGAGTTGATCTAGACATGTGTGTCTGTCTGTCCGTTTGTCCATTATAATTTGTAAACACGATACAGACCACAGTTATGGACCAATTGTCAATTTAGTAATGATCGGTTAATATTTAGTGGATGAAATGGACCAAAAACTTTATTTTTGTCTGTTTTCTGGTCGCTCTAGAGGTCACAATTATGATTATGCGGCCTTATTATAGAATAAGCATGACTGTTTTGATACTTACAGATGTCTTCGTTTTCTGATGTTGTTTAATATTTCCATTACCGTGCTAGAGGACGGACATGTGGCGTTGATGGGTTGGAAATTTTGCTTGCATTTCTGGTTATGGTCAAGGTCGACGCCTTTCAGGTCGGTAGTGATCAGATGATATTTAGGGTTTAAAATGGACCGAAAACTTTATTTTTATCCGGTATTCTAGTCGGTCTAGATGCCACAATTATAAGCCGAATATCACAAACTTTCCATGGGTCAAATCTACCAAGATCCCGGTGAAACAAAATTTGGAAAGTATGCCAGGGTAAGAAAGAGGGACTGTTGATCCCTATTCGCTCAAGAGCGTGCAAATGTTATGAAATATAGCCCGTGCTCGGTGTAGGGTATTTTATGGTCGGCCCAGTCCGATTATTTTGCTCCGCTCACTGCAATACCGAGTTATACTGCGAGTACATCCTGATTACAAAATTTTAGGCTGAAATCTTCAAAATAAAAATAAACCGGATATTTTATATGGGGGCTACATCAAAACATAGATCTATACTTCAGAAAAAAAAAATCGACTAAAAATTTCAATATAACAAAAATAGGTCCAGTCCTTATAATGGAGTTTATATCAAAACATGGAGCTAAAACGAACATTTTCCGAATAATCCTTTTTAACCCTCCAAGAAACCGGTATGCCGAATTTTGGCCATTTTGTTGTGGAAATTAAGCAAAAATCTTTCAAACTTTCAACCTAAATCTTTAAAATACCAAAAAAATGGAGCGGAAATACCAAAAAATACGGTCCTATATTGTTAATGTTTTGCATAGACATATGATGGCTTTCGAAAACCGAATCACCAAATTACAGGCACTTCAGTAGGAAAATGTGTCTAAATATAGAATGGAGTTGGCTATAATGAACACTTCCAGCAAAAATATTGCTCACCGTTTAAGAACACCGAATGTTAATTATAACCACTTTGGTGGATGAATTCGGTAAAAATATTTAAAATCGATACATGGTACTATATTCTACATTTTTGCATAGATATATGACGGCCCTCAAAGCTCCGGATCACCAAATTACAGGCACTTCGGTAGGAAAACATTAAAGTAAACAATAAAAATTCCGGATATGGGGCGGGTCCTTAATAAGAGTGCTATATCAAAACATGGAACTAGCATTTTATATAGCCATAGGTCGGCCTTCAAGCCCTGGAACATCAAATTACAGCCACTTCTGCCGGAAAATGTGGGTAAAACCTTTAAATTTTGAAAATGAATATATTTTTCACCCTCCTTCAAAATATAGATAACAGAGCGGTAACTTTATATCGAGTAATAACATGGACATATATGGAAAATCTTCTGCATATATGTGTGTCAATCTACAAAAGCCGCGATCTCTAATTACAACCACTTCGGTTAAAAAATTGGCTAAAACCTTTAAAATATCTAAAACGTTTAAATATCTAACCTTTAAATATCTAATTTACCGACTATTTTAAAGCGCGGACTAGGACTAATATACCTGATTTGCAATACCAAACATTTTAGGTATTGTAGCAAAAAGTGCTCGACATGGAATTTTCTAGTCTGATCAATAATATCTCGAGGTGTTACAACCTACATGACATATTTAATATACATTCCACTTTATGGTGCAAGTGGATTTATTCTGATCATCTTATATTCGTCATCAACTGTACTCAAGTTTTCTAAAAGTGTACATGTTGTTTCATAGAGTTTTTGTCATTTCAATCCCTATCGATTTATCGGAACCATACATACCAAAATTCAAAATGACCAGTCACATCAATCATTTATAGTACAAACTCGAACAAACGGTCGTTATAGGTTCCTTGATTTTTGGTCTTTTGGGGCAAGATTTTTGTAGAATAATAGGAGGCCAGACAATCTCGTCTCATTTATGGCGGGAAAACAGAACATACTAGACGTACAAGGACTCGAGATAGCAGAAGGATATGTTTTACAAAAAATATTCCTCATTTGATTTGATTGAAAAAATGCAATTCCAATAATACCGTGTAATAGCCGCATACAAAGTAGTGGGCGTTTTCTTAATGCTAGTTTCGACTTACCAGCAAAAAATTAATCACATCATAACGCAAAAAGTTGACCTATCTTCTTGGATTCTTAATATACTCGCTAAGGGCTCTCACCCCAATAAGTAATATTCCATCCCAACATTTTCTTGCACAGTGATATCAATAATTTGACAACATGTAGGTCTCAATGATACTTGTTAGACTCAATTGAGAATGTCTAAAGCATACTTTTAGGCTGCTAATAAAATAACGCAATATATGAGACATGTAAGTAATTTTTTATATTTTTTATGCATATTAAGCATGGAAATTTCTAAAGAACTTCCTTCTACATATTAAATTTATTGCAAACTTTCAATTTTATAGTAATCTCTAAATATTTTTTATATCTCCTACAATATTGATTTTTTTCCATAGCATTCCTTAAAATGAAATTAAAAGTTATTTCCATAATAGTACATTTATACCTATTTAGTTTAATATATTGACTTTCATAGAATTTTAACCTAGAAATAGTTGTTGTTTTTTTTTGCAATATATATTTGTTTTTTGATTTTGCCATAACTGTCAAACAATCGCCCGTTTTTCATGGCGCGAAACTACAGCGCTATCTAAAATGGCATCTAAGCATGCAATTTATGTGTGCGGTAAAAAACAGGTGAATTGTCTTCTGAATTTCTGTAGTTCAGTATTTTTATTCAGCGTCAGTTGTAACTTTGCGATATGACACCACACTGACAAGTTTCAAGTCAATACATTATTTTTAGAGTTGTATTGACGTTGGCATATTGAATGCTAGTAAATATGTCAGTGTTGTGCGACGTAGTATTTTAAATATGACACTTAAAAATTAAAACGAAAATGACAAGTGGATAGAGATACTGTATACAATTTATCTAATTAATATCTCAGCTGTGACAAAATAGAATATATAATATCGTTGTTTTATTTATAGTTATGTAGAGGTACCAAAATGATAGTCAAACCAGTAAGGAAAGTGGTAAAGTCGGACGGGGCCGACTATATTATACCCTTCACCACTTTGATTTTCACGAAACTTAACACACATCATTCTAGACTTTATTCAGTACGCTGTACCAAATTTCGTGGAAATCGAAAGGTATACAGAGACTTTGGTACACCATTTTCCTTAAATCGGACGAAAATATATATGGGAGTTATATCTAAATCTGAATCGATTTTCACGAAACTTAGCACACATCATTCTAGGCTAAATTAAGTACGCTGTGCCAAATTTCGCGCAAATCAAAAGATATATAGGGACATATTCTCAAAAGGAACCATGGGTCTATCTTGATTCCTTTTGTCGTTATAAACATATGCACAAAGACATAATACCCTGTACCACAGTGTGGTGAAGGGTATAAAAAACCAAATTACAAAGAATTTGGTTGAAAAACGCGCTCCCTTATATGGGGACTATCCGAAAAAATTGACCTATATTTATAATTTTTACTAGGGAGATTTGCTACCCAATAAGAACTCAAAGTACCAAATTTCAGCGAATTCGGTCCAAAAATGCGATCAAAACCCCCAAAATACCGAAAATTGGGGCTACCCTTATATGGGGACTATCCGAAAAAATGGACCTATATTTATAATTTTTAGTAGGGAGATTTGGTACCCAATAAGAACTCAAAGTACCAAATTTCAGCGAATTCAGTTAAAAAACGTGCTAAATAACCTCAAAATACCGAAAATTGGGGGGTACCCTTATATGGGAGCTATGCCTAAACGTGGACCGATTTTCTCCAATTTCAATAGGGTTCGTCCTTGGGCCAATTAAGTGACCTGTGCCAAATTTCATCCAAATCGGATCATAAATGCGACCTGTACTATGTTAACAAAAATACATGGACGGGCGGACAGACGGATATGCATAAATCGACTCAGAAAGTGATTCTATGCATATTCTCAAAAGCAACCATGGGTTTATCTCGATTATTTTTGCCTGTTATAAACATATGCACAAAGACATAATACCCTGTACCACAGTGTGGTGAAGGGTATAAAAATATTGTGGTTTGCAAGGTTTGAGCCAATGAGTTTAATGAACGCATTTAATGCCATATGGGCACGTTTTTAATACTTGAATCATTTATGGATTAATCGAATATATAATAAAAAAATATAATAAAATCGTTTGCGTTGTGACGCCGCTAAATATTAGACATAAACCCATATCTAGGCATATGTGTCCGTCTGTCCATTATAATTTGGAAACACGATAAAGGCCACAGTTATGGACCAATCGTCACGGCATTTTGTATATAGGATGGGTTCTGGCCAATGAATGTTTTTGGTAAAGATGGGTTAATATTTAAGGTTGTATTCTGGTTGCTCCAGAGGTCGCAATTATGGCCCGAACATCGCGAAATTTTACATGAAGAAGGGCCCGATCTTGTTTTCACAAAGATCGGTCTATATATAACGGGTCAAATTTCAATATTTCTAGTGAAAATCTCAAGGATTCTTGAAGATATAGCCCAATTATTGTGTCAGCATCAAGTGACGGGTGAAGGGCTTCTCAAACTTTAAACGCGTTTTTCTCTTTTGCGAATGGAGGGCACGATAACTAAAAAACTAAGATCTTCCTTATTTTTTGACTTGGTTTTTGGTCAAAAATCGGCGATTTTCCAAAAATATTTTTTCAAAGGTCCGCCATTTTGTTAATTTTAGAGCGAAGTCAATGATCATAGTTCATACGCGGGCCAGACATGTACTCTTTCTAACACAGTTGGAATTTTCGGATTCCGATGTTCCAGTGAGGAGTTATCATGCCCGCCATCAAAAATAAGGAATTCTCTTTAATTACAAAAAACAACAACAAAACAACAACAAAAAATTTTTGTAAATTATTTTTCTTCCTTTTTAAATCTTCAAATATATATGTGCAAAGTTACAAACCTTAAAAAGTATTGGTATTGATTAAAATCACGAATGGGTTTGGTTCCCTTAAATATTTACATGTACTTACGCATTCAGATAAATATTTACATGTACTTACGCATTCATTACCACACTATAGGGCGAAAATATAGCGTTGATCGCTTTGAAATTTTTCCATTAGGTTCCAGCTATGGTCAAGGAAAAGGCCTATAACTTTCGGTGATGATCAGAAAAAAAACTTATTTTTTTTTGTTTTTTTTTTTTTGAGCCGCTCTATAGACCACAATTATAAGCCAAACATCACAACACAACCCACGGTGAAGGGAATCTGGACATGTAATTAGACGGGTTGAACTGAATATTAGCAATATTCGGAAAGTATGTCAGTATAAGAAGAGGTGGTAAATCAGATTTTTAAAAGGATACATACAGAAAATCACCAATATAGGTTCATGTTTTGACATAGAGCCAAATAATCAGATCCAGCCCACTTTTTTGGTATTTTAAATGTTCTAGAAGCTTTAGCAACGATGTGGCTGTAATTTGGTATTTCGAGCTCTAGATGTGTATAAACCATATTTGTAGCAAATAGTCCATATTGGGTCATATCCATCATGAAAGGCCTCGGCCCATTTTCAGTATTTTTAATGTTTTTAGCGCATTTAAAACCAATTTGCTTACCTTTTGGTGTTCAGGTTTTTAAACATGTCTGCACAAAATGTTCATTATAGGCCCATAAAGGCATCTCGACATATTTTCAATATCGAACTATTCGGCGTAAGAAAGATCATTGTAGATTTTTTGTTGATATATGTCTATGAGTCCCTATATAAATGTTCCTCCACATTTACGATGTTTTAAACCCAACATAGGGCAGTAATTCGGCATTTCGGGTTTCTGGTGAATAAAAAACTTCATTCCAGAAAATTTTCAAAATATTTCAATGTTTTAAATAGCCACCATACCCCATTTTCTGAGAATAAGGTTTTTAACTCTCCACGAATCCGAAATGTGTAAATTAATTGAAATCTCTCAACAACCCTTTCAATACCTAAAATGGTGCTGGAACTTTATACGGGGGCTATGTTAAAAAGGTAGGTTTATATCAGGCATGGGCAGAGCGTAAAAAATTCTGTTCTCACGCACTTGTCTTTGTGTGTGTGTCAATGGTTTTTCAATTGGTTCAGTTGAATGTGTGTGAGAGAATAGTGATATTTACTCTCGCGTGATATTTGCACGCGTGCGGTGGTTAGGCCAACTGTGGTTTATATAGATATTTTCTTTGAAGAAGGGACAATACCGAATCGTAGGTCGCTATATTTTCGAAAATACCCTTCAATGATGTATCTGAAATATTACGAGCTGGGACAGGGGGCGTAGAATTTTATACTCAGAAGAAAAAAATGCCTTAGGCCACAATTTTTGATTAGATAAGAAAAAGCTTTATATCTTTGTTTATTATCGCCCTTTTCCACGATTATCCGAGCCTATATATGAGGAGTAATGACAAATTTAGTGGAAGTGATGCAAATGTGGTATAGGTTGGTAATGTGGTATAGTCACTTTTTTTGTAAACTGAAATTTTTAGAATAACTGAAACATGTTTTATTGTTTGCTGTTCTCAAAAAAATAAGACAGCAATGATCTGTTTAATTTATTTAAATCACGTTGAGAATCAGTACCAAAAATAAAATTTTTCATGAAATTTACTTTTTTTCGGTTGAAGTTTAAAAATATTTTTTTGTTTTACGGATGTAATTTAATCGTTATTACTAAAGCATTTAACTAATTAGTATGAACTAAAAATCAAATAATATGCGCGATTGCACCACATAATCACCAATTTAGGAAAAAAACTCGACATTTCTTCAGTAAACACAAGTGTTGGTAATGTGGTATACCTTGATTCTGCATGAAAAAATGCCAGCACTAGACAAAATCTCATTACTATGTGAAACATTTGTACTCTACGAGAGTCTACCATGAATTACAAGGATGAAAAACATAGGCTATGAGTTTTAACAAGTTCTCCATGCAATAATTAAATATTGTCATGTGTAGACATTATTATATAATAAAAATTAAAGTTGCACTCAACGTATCCGTTAAAAATCTTAATAGACATAAATCTCGAGCTAACTCGCATTCATTAAAAACAATAAATTTTTTATGATATCAATTGGAAGTGAAAATTATAATATACCACATTAACATCATGTGGTATACCACATTACCTGCACTTTTTATAAAATCACTTTTTATGGAATTTCCAATATTTTCTCAAATATCTCTTAAATTGTAAGAATAATATTATTTTCACATTGATACATGGAAAGACAACACATGTAGCATGTTAAGTGTAAAATTTCAATTTAATCGTATAAAAAATAAAAATTTGCCAATCTAAATACAAATGGGTATACCACATTTGCATCACCTCCTATATATGGTTTAAAAATAAAGCCTTTTTTCAGCCTTTCCTAAATGAAAAATATTAATATCGAAATTCTTCTAGACCCAATCGATGTATTATACGGTATGTAAAATTTGAAAAAAATATCCATGTAGTAAGCTCCAAACGAATTTATTTATAGAACATTCAAGTCGTAGAATAGTGACCTAAGAATGTAGATATACTCGAATATAAGTAATAGTAAAGTAGTTAGTGCATGAATACCCTAGATATTATAGTAGATTTTGTTGCATTTTAGCTGAATTGGCCATTAAAAAAATCGAAAAAATCTAGAATTCCTTTCCAAAGAAAAATTCTTCCCACTTTTTCCTAGGCAACTGAAACGGAAGAGGCGGTGGGCGAAGACTCTGCAAATCAAGATGAAAACGAAAATGAGCTAAATAATGACGTCACTAACGACGAAACTGAGGAAAATGATAATAAACAAGAAGAAGAGGAAGAAAATGCTGAGCAAGATGAAGCTGAGCAAGATGAAGCCGATGGCACTGAATCACCCACCTCATCACTGGCCATTGAAGGTTTTGTCCAGGGAGTTGCCGATGATAATACAGTTCAGTCACAAAAAGCTGCTATTCTTGATGATCATGATAATGATGAAGTATAACTTTTCAAAAACCAACTCCAATTGTTGTCCTGTTTGTTTATTTTTATTCCTCTCAGCAAACAAACAATACTGAAGCTGATGTTGCAATCTTTGATATTTTCATTTCTTATGAGTTTTAACAAGACCTTGTGCGTCGTAGTCTTGTCAAAAGCACACACTTGTCTGTCACACATTTTCGTTGAATCAGTCAAAATGGTGCACCTTTTCGAAACATTGCCACTTTCTATTCCAAAAAAAAAGTTCTCTTCAGAGATATTTGGCACATACACTTTCTTCTAATACCGAAGCTTTTCTTCATTCCCAATTGATTCTTTCTATAAACAAAATTTAATTTCTTAATTTTCTTTGGGCACCTTTTCTTAAAGCACCATGCACCTTCTTCATTTGTTATGTCTTTCTTGTCCTTTGTGTATTATTGGGTTTGTTATATTTGTTTTTTCTTTCATTTTTATATTTTATGTGTTTTTTTTACAAAAATTGAAATTATATTTATTTTTGATATATAACGCCATCATATTTTATCATCACCGAACCCTACTACTCCTGCATTCCCAACTCAAAAAAAAAAAAAAAAAATGTTAAACCAAAATAAAACTCAAACATCCAAAGGAATCACGTATCAGCAGAATCATAGCTTCTGGTGATATGGAACAATTGGCCCAAATCGTATTGAATGGTGACGGTCAGAAGCTATTGAATGTGAAAGCCAAGGAGCCGGAAATCCAGGCATTTTTGCGTAATGTACCAAATTATATGGTAAGTGCTATAATTTTGATGGGTCTTCAAAACTTGATTTATTTTTAAAAGAGGAAAAATGTCGTAGAGTACGGAAAGTCTGAACTTTCCATACATCATGATGTGTCTTAGCCATTGTAAAGGGTTTCTCCTCCGGAATACTAAATAAGAAACAATCAGGTTGGAAGCATCGGCTAGGACCCTCAACATACCGAAAACGTACGTTTGTGTTAATTATAAATGTGGATAAAACCTTGAAAAGTGGGCTCTGTAAAAATATAGAACTTTGCTGACCTTCAAAACATCGAAAATGGGGTGGGGCCATTATATTGGGGGTATGCCAAAACACGGACATATAGATCTTCCAAACACCGAAAATGGACTGGACTTTGGAAGCTTTTTTATAGTAAAAAGTAGACCTCCAGCTCATATATAGGAAGAAGTAGGCTTCCAGCTCTTCTATAGGAACAAGAAGACCTCCAGGTCCTCCATAGGAGGAAGACTTCAGCTCTACTATAGGAATAAATAGAGCTTAAGCTCTTCTACAGGAAGAAGACCTCCAGCTCTTCTTAAGGAAGAAGTAGAAGTCCAGCTCACCTACAGTAAGAAGAAGGCTTCCAGCTCTTCTATAGGAAGAAGAAGACCCCCAGATCTTCCATTGGTAGAAGAAAACCTCCAGCTCTTCTAAAGGAAGGAGACTTCCACCTCTTCTATAGGAATAAGTAGACCTCCAGCTCATCTACAGTAATAAGATCTTCAGCTCTTCTTATGGAAGAAGTAGACGTCCAGCTCACCTACAGTAAGAAGAAGGGTTCCAGCGCATCTATAGGAAGAATAAATCCTCCAGATTTTCTAAAGGAAAAAGAAGACTTTCAACTCTTCTATAGGAAGAGGTAGATCTCCAGCTCATCTATAGGAAGAAGAAGACCTCTAGCTCATCTATAGGAAGAAGAAGACCTCCACCTCTTCTAGAGTAAGAAGAAAATTTTCAGCACTTCTTTAGCTTTTCTAAAGGAAGGAGAAGACCTCCAACTACTCTATAGGAAGAGGTAGATCTCCAGCTCATCTATAGGAAGATGAAGAAGGCCTCTAGCTCATCTATAGGAAGACTAAGACCTCCACCTCTTCTAAAGTAAGAAGAAGATCTTCAGCACTTCTTTAGGAAGAAGAAGACATCTAAAGAGATCAATAAAAATATTGACCTACATGGACATATTTCAGGAAATATGTTTTTCACCTTCCAAGCAGCCCGAAGACCAAATACAGCCGGTGATATTTTTGGTAAGAAAGATTTTTCACGCAATAAGAATCCAAAGTATAAATTTAAAGCCAACACGTTTGAAAAACGTGTCCAATATATCGAATAAATATAAGGTAGATCGATATGTCTCGTCAATACCAGCGATAGCAACAAAGTGTATTTAAAATTTCCAAGCTCTATCTGAAATATTAAATACTTAAATAAGGATAGAGATTTAAATAGGCAGACGGACATGGCTAATCGACATAGAATGTTATTCCGATGAAGAATACATATATTTTAGGGGTCTCAGCGAATGAAATGACAAATATATTATACCCTACACCTTATGATGTATTTTAAATAAATAGTATAAATCATGTTTTGAAGGCCAATATAAACCTATCATAAGTTACAAAAAATATTAACATTAAATTTACAGGATAAAATCCGTCGAGTCCATGAGGCTGCCCGCGGTGGTAGCTTATTAAATCTGCAACAAGCCTTGGATCGACGAAAGTTTGCCATTGCCAAAGATGAAATATCACCGAATGGTGCAACGCCACTACATGTTGCGGTATTATTTGGTCATAGTGGTAAGTTGGAGGATTTACACAGAGAGATTCATATTTGGAAAGTGAATATAATTCGAATATGTTTTTGTTTTGTTTTCAGATATTGTACGATATTTGTCTGCCCGTTTCCCTGAGACGACTTCGGTAACGGATAATGATGGACGAACTGCTTTACATTATGCTGCAGTTATAAATGACAATGGACATTTTTATAATGTTCTACAGCAATTGGGCGCCAATCCTAAGGCATTGGATAATGTAAGTGAAATTATGAAATATTCACAGATATAATATATTTGAATCAAGGAATACAATTTTGTGAACAAAAAATAGCACCACCATTACAAGAAATATTATAGTCCTCAATATCGTAGAAGTCCATGACATATAATAGCACCAATTTGTGTTTTCAGATTAGGGATGAGTAAATACACTTTCGACCAATTGACTTTTTGTATTGAAAATTCTAATAGTCGAAGTCGACTTTGAATCTTTCAGGAAATTGCAAAGTCGAGTTTTAAAGGTCAGCTTTCTAATCTTCATTGATTAGAACCGCTGAATATGGACCGATGATCTAGCTAGTTGGCCAGATTTACCTTCAAGAGTAATGTGTTGTGGTGTTCAGCTTATAATTGTGGCTTATAGAGATACTTGAAAAAACAAATCAAATTCACATTTTTCTCATAAAAGTCTGGGTCCATTTGACCCGCTAAATATTGACTGATTATTTTCTCCATGGTCAGACAGGAGAAAAACAGACAAAAATAATGTATTTAGTCCGTATCAACCCCAAAACATTTACCGTTCATTACCAAAAACAATAGAGGTCTTCTTTGATCAGAACTGGACCAACATTAAAAATTTCGTGAAGATTGGTTCATAACTGTGGCCTGTAGCGTGTTTACAAATTATGGCTTCTAGTGTGCTTACAAATTATAATTTTCGTCATATCTTGACTAGCTAAGTCGATCTAGACAATCAAAATATGACGATCGGTAAAAGATGGTTGATTGATTTTTTTTAGTACGAAGGTTTTCTACGCAATGAGGGAGGGCCTAAGTCTAAACTTAGGTTAATATTGAAATGTTTTACAAACAAATCCTCATTCGTTGTTATTGTAGAAATTTAAAAATACATGTAATACAAGAAAGCTACAAATGATTATATGAAGGTATCTCTTCTAGTATAATAGGGCCCCCAGCAAACATATGATCACGCCATATCTCCGAAAATTGGTGAATTATTCCTTCCTTTTATATCTTTGGAATCACACTTACATTTGTCATAATAATCAACTTTAATTACTCATCAATTACACAAGTACTACGAGTAAATGTCTTCAAGTATATTCATTTGCCAAAGTGTTAATAATCTAGGGCTGTACGACAATTCTTGGGAATTAACATATGTTCATACCAATACGTATGTACTTGATGTCATCTCTCAATTATGAGTTGAATAATCAATAACATGATTCATATTCCTTTACTATTCCAATAAACACATTTTTCATTCATATTTGTTGTCATCTATTTCAGTTGGGTAAAACACCAGAACAATATCTAACAAATAATGACCTCAAAGATACATTCAACTATGGACAGTTATTGAAAAATTTCGGCGCCGAAGAATTGGAATCACAACTTCTAAGCGACCAAGGTAAGTAGTAATGGGGTACTGTAGTTTTCTTTTCTTGTGACCTTCTTCAACTTTTTTTTTGATTTTATGTGGGCGGGTGGATATTCCTTTTTTGACTTTGAGAAGAAAATTATTTAGTATTTGATTTTCTATGTGTGTGTGCTTGCATGTGTATGTGTATGTTCGGGTGCATAATAAAACATGTGTTTTTGTTTATTTCCTTTTATTGAATTTTAATTAACTAATAATGGGGTGTCATCGCAATCTGTTTTTTTCGTTTTCAGTTTCTATTTTTCATTCCTTTGTTTATTCAATGGCTTTTTATTGTCACTGCTATTTAAATAAAATGGATTGTAAATAATTGTTTGTTTTTGGTGTGATTAAATTTTTGTTATTTATGTTTTGTGTTGTTTTATTAAATATGAGTTAAAAGGCTTTCCATGGAATTTTTAATCACAGAAATGAATAATTACTGAGGAAAAATAACTATGATTGAAGGGTTAATTATACAGGTTTATCCATCTCGTGGTTTCAAAAGTGAACGTATACATATTTTTTGAATTATATATCATCATACCCTACTCAATAGTGTTGTAGGGGTATTATAACTTCTTTGTGTGGCTCAAGAGTTTGTAACGGCACGAAATATTGGTCCTGGACCAACACGCTCCAGGCCACATTTATGAATCAATCGTCACCAAATTTTGCAAATAGGACCGCTTTTGGCCAAAGGATACCCCATTAGTTTTTTGCAATAATCCGTTAATATTTAGGAAATGAAATGGACCAACAACTTTAATTTTGTATGTTTTCTGGTCATTCAAGAGGCCGTAGTTAAAACCCGAACATCAAGAAATTTTATGTGGGGAAAGGAATCTGGCAAGACAGCCTGGATTTCAAGAGGAGTATTTTTGAAATATTTTTTTAAGCCTTCATGATTTTTTTTAAGCCTGGATTTCAAGGATTTCAATTTTTTAAAGATTTCTTTAAAGCCAAGATTTCAAGGCGAGGATTTTTTTAAGCCTGGATTTCATCTTTTTAAAGATTTCTTTAAAGCATGGATTTCCAGGCGAGAATTTTTTAACTTTTTTAAACCTTGAATTTCAAGGCGTGGATTTTTTAAAGACTGGATTTCAAGGGAATATTTTTGAAATATTTTTTAAAGCCTGGATTTGTTCATGATTTTTTTTTAAGCCTGGATTTCAAGGATTTCAATTTATTAAAGATTTCTTTAAAGCCAAGATTTCAAGGCGAGGATTTTTTAAGTCTGGTTTTCATCTTTTTAAAGATTTCTTTAAAGCTTGGATTTCCAGGCGAGAATTTTTTAACTTTTTTAAACCTTGAATTCCAAGGCGTGGATTTTTTAAAGCCTGGATTTCAAGAGGAGTATTTTTGAAATATTTTTTAAAGCCTGGATTTATTCATGATTTTTTTAAGCCTGGATTTCAAGGATTTCAATTTTTTAAAGATTTCTTTAAAGCCAAGATTTCAAGGCGAGGATTTTTTAAGCCTGGATTTCATCTTTTTAAAGATTTCTTTAAAGCATGGATTTCCAGGCGAGAATTTTTTAACTTTTTTAAACCTTGAATTTCAAGGCGTGGATTTTTTAAAGCCTGGATTTCAAGAGGAGTATTTTTGAAATATTTTTTAAAGCCTGGATTTGTTCATGATTTTTTTAAGCCTGGATTTCAATTTTTTAAAGATTTCTTTAAATCCAAGATTTTAAGGCGAGGATTTTTTTAAGCCTGGATTTCATTTTTTTTTAAAAATTTCTTTAAAGTATGGATTTCAAGGCGAGAATTTTTTAACTTTTTTAAACCTTGAATTTCAAGGCGTGGATTTTTTAAAGCCTGGATTTGTAGGCGTGGATTTTTTAAAAGCCTGGATGTGAAAGCTTGGATTTTTAAAGCCTAAATTTCAGGACGTGGTTTTTTTAAAGCCTAAATTTCAAGACGTGGATTTTTTAAAGTCTGGATTTCAAGACGTGAATTTTTTAAAGCCTGGATGTGAAAGCTTGGATTTTTAAAGCCTGGATGTGAAAGCTTGGATTTTTAAAGCCTAAATTTCAAGACGTTAAATTTTTTATGTAATGGCATATATTCAATTTCTTGAGGATTCTCAGAACCCAAATCCCGATTCATGTTTGCTACTTTTTTATTAACATAGCCAAAGTTGGAAAATTCCTAATGACAATTATTTGTTAAATATAGCACTCATATATTATTTATTATGCGTTAAAATACGATTCTTAGTGATTTGAGTCTTTGCCATACTGGTTAATGAATACCAGTTAAAAATGTTCAAAATTTTAAAATTTTTAATGTGTAATTTTTGGTTTCATTTCATGAAGTAAATACCGGATAATACGTCGAAGGGGTTTTTTTCCATTATAATGTTTAAAACAAATGTGGTGGCGCATGGTGTATACTTTTCGCTATAGTTTTTCTCTTTTTAGTTTTATTTTAATTTCTAAAAAGTTACAGTGTCTCTCATGCCAAAAAAAAAATTGCCACTCTACATGTAATTTTTCAGGGTCATCCACTTGCGTGCATCTAAAAATTAATACCCTTGGTTTGTTTCCCCTCTATCTCTTCGTACCGAAATATATTCTCTATTTCATTAAATATTCAATTAAAATTTTAACTAAATTCGGGTCTATTTCGTATTTCTTCAATAGTTTGTTTTCTTTTGCTGTCTCCACGTTTTCTTGTAGCACAATTCACGACACAGATTTGTGGCCAAATGGTTATTTCTCTCTTTTCGGTTGTTTACTCAGCGTTTTAAATTATAAATAATGTTTGATAGGTAACCACCTACAGTAGACCGTAGGCAGCCCCCCCAAGTAGGGGGTTTAACCTTAAACTTGTTTGACCAATGGCTAAAGTCGTCTAAAGTGGATGGGGGAGAGGGAGGTGTTGCACAAAAGGATGACATTACTACTAACACACGGATCGATGTCAAGTTGACGTTGCCGCATGACAGACAGGTCATGAATTACATTTTTAAAATCTCTTTAGTTAGTCGTTGTTTTAAAGTTTTACTCGGCGGTTGTTGTCAATCATAAATTGTCCCACGGATAACAAGGATAAAAAAGAAAATAATAAATAGTATTTTTTGTTTTTTTTTTTCTCCAGTGCTA